TATTCATAATAGCCAGAAACTAGAAATAACCTAAAGTCCCTCAACTGAAGAATGGATAAAGAAAATGTGTTACATCTACACAATGGAATATTATTTAACTATTAAAAACAAAGACATCATGAATTTTGCAGGCTAATGGATGGAACTTGAGAATATCATCCTGAGTGAGGTAATGCAGACCCAAAAGGATATACATTGTATGTACTCACATATAAGTGAATATTAGCCATAAAATACAGGATACCCATGCTTCACTCCACAGACCCAAAGAAGCTAAGCAAGAAGGAAAGCCCAAGCAGGGATGTTTGAATCCCACTTAGAATGGGGATAAAATGGTCATGGGAGGCAGATGGAGGGAGAGAATAGGGAGGAGAACGGGAGCATTCACTGGAAGATTTTAATTCTGACAATTGATTATGCTACGTACTTGGCAGGGAGGTCTCATTTTACGTGAATGACATCAGATAAATGAACCATAGAAAACAATGAGCCATTGAATTATAGAATTTTGGAAATGTAAATTACTTTGGGAAGAGATTGTGGCCTGATTCTTTTGCTTTGAGCATGAGGAAACAGACCTGGAAAAATCAGTGTCCTGTCCAATGTCACAAAACCAAATGTGGCCAACACTGGTTGTCTTGCAGTATTTACCCTCTCCCTGTTTCTCGGAAATGCTAATCCTGCCTTCAGCTGTGCACATGACTGTCTGGAATAAAGTCATATTTCCCAGTAAGATGAGGTTTCATGACTAAGTTTTGGGCTAAGTGGTGTGAGCACTTGTGAGTGGTGTGGGAATTATGTTTATAGGTCAGAGTTTGGGGTGGATGTGTTCTTACTTCTGGGTTGCAGATTGACAGCTGCAAGTTCAAGTAGCCAGTCTGGACAATGAAGTGGAAGATGTGTTTGTAAATCAGAAAGAGAGTAGCAAGATGGAATTCTAGAGCTTTGATGATATGGAATTGCCATTTTAGCTCTGTAATTTTCATTTCTGCTCCTTACAGGAAAGAGAAATGAGTTTCTATTTTTGTTTCAGTTACTGTTATTTCTGATTCTTATCCTTTACAGTTGAATTGAATCGAAACTGAGAATATAATCAGTAAATGAGGGTTAGGGATTTTGGATTCCTGAACCCAAAATAGTCCTAAACTACTATGTTTCTCTGTGTGAGCATGTGTGTATATCTGTGTGTATGCTGGGGCGTGTGTGTGTGTGTGTGTGTGTGTGTGTGTGTGTGTGTGTATAGGTTAGAGGGAAATCTCAGATGTCATTCTTCAGGCACCGTTCTCCTTTTCCTTGAGCCAAGGACTCTAATGGCCTAGAACTTATATAACTCTAGGAGTCGCCTCTCTCTGCCTTCTTAGTACTGGGATTGCATGCACATCACTATGCCTGACTTTTTTTCCCCTTCTTAAACATGGATTCTGGCAAGCTCAGGTCCTCACGCTTGCAAAGTAAGCACTTTACTAATTGAACTCCTCCCAATCCTTACTCTGTGTACTACTATTAATAACAAATGTGAGGGCTAGGGATATAACAGGACTAGAGTGCTTACAAGCACAAGGTCCTGAGTTTATTTCCCAGCAACAGAAATAAACAAATGAGGATAAACGTCAAGCTGTGCTGAGAGTTCTGTACATTAGTTGCCGATAATTTTTGAGTGCTTACTACACGCTAGTCACTAATTCTCATGCTCACTATCGGATATTATCATCATTCTCATTTTACAAAGAACTGAGATATTGAGGGCTTAGATAGAACTTGTCCAAGTTCACATATGTTCTAAGAGGTAGAAGTGAGATACGAACCCAGGCAGCCTGGTTCCAGGTCCTGCAGTGTTAGCTCCTACATCACTGTTTGTCTTATGATTTGAGCTCCTCCTCATCCTCTCTACCCATTTTACAGAGGAGGAAGTGGAAAAAGACAATTACCCAATTATTTGCTTAAATTCACAGTGCTGCAACCCATATTACAGGACAGACTCCTAACTCCCACTCCATGTTCTTCCCCTGGACCACCCTGCTGTCTAGAGGCCACCTGGGCAGATAGATAAGCCCCACCCTTTACTTTCCCTTCCAACATACAACACACACATATATACACACACAACCACCCAGTAGGCATTCAGACATTTTTGTGGCCAGGTTGGCTACAACCTTCTTTGAAAAGCAGCCAGCTTTTGCCCTCCACCAAATAACTTTGTTTTATTTATAGTCTCCTGCACAGAGCTTTTGAACTGATTGCTCATTCCAGAGAAGATCTTGATAACAACTGCTCCTTGGAGAGGTTTCATAGAAAACAAGGTGAGTAAACACATGGAGTCCTTGCCTGTCTAGCAGAACATTGCTCCTGGGGGTGTTTATAAGTCTGTGTTGGTGTCTGGGTGCAAAGACTTTGAATTCAAAATGGCAGTTTGGACATTTCATTTTTTTTTTTTTTAATTCAAAAAGGTTCACCCTCTGCCTTCAACAACCTCAAGGCATAGACAAAAGGGAGATCATATTTTTATCCAGGAGCTAACTCCCAAAGAAGGAGTTTTTCTATTATTCGCTGTGCTTTCTTTGCTCCCTGCCTGGCTGGTAGCCTAGGATGTTACCGTAGCGACTGTGAGAAGAGTGTAGAACGGGGGGGGGGGGGGCACTTTATGGATTTATAAAGGTTAAAATGATGGGAGGAATGAACGACATTTCAGAAGAGAAAACTGAAGCAGGCAAGGATGAACAAGAAAAGGCTCAGGACCAAAAGGGACTTGTGGGTTTGTAGTGTCTTCTGACTCATGTCCCAAGTGCCACCCTCAAGACTGTCTAGGTCTGACATGTGTCTGGAATTATTCAGCACTGACATTGGCCCCTCGGTTTGTTAGCTGTATCACCCAACTGAGGGAGTATGCCTCAGTTTCCTCTTTGTAAAATGGAAGGACAAACTCCCAAGGCAATCATGAGGATTGGTATGAACCAGGCCTGGTGCACAGTGCTCATGCCCTCACTAAATAGATCTGTCATTGCTTCCTTTGTGGCCCCTTCAGGCCTAGAGGACATGAGACTGGGGTTCATGAAAGTGAGTCTCTCGGGGGCCTGGCAGGGACAAGTAGCAGGTCGATGATCCTAGCTCTCAAATATTTTCCTTTTTGTTAACTTCTGCCAGGGACTGTTGCAATCAGAGGAGTTTTCAGTACTGGAGCCCTCATAATGACCAATAAAGGAAGCAGGGGTCCTCGCTGAGCCACCCTTAAGGTCCTCTATTAGTCCTGCTTTTCTTGTGATGAAATATCTGACTAAAGCAAGTGAAGGGCAGGTGTGGCGGTGCATGCCTTTAAGGCCACCAGCACTTAGGAAGCAGAGGCAGGCGTATTTCTGTGTGAGTTTTGAGCCAACCAAGGCTGAGTAGCTGGAGAGTGAGGCCTTGTCTGGAAAAAAAAAAACGAACAATGTAGGGTTTAATTTGGCTCACAGTTTAACATGATAGGAGGAGAAGACATAGCAGCAGGAAAGGTGAGGCCATTGGTACAACGAATGATTCCAGTTAGGAAGCACAGAGAAAGCAGACTTGTAGCTTCCCCATCCTTTCATGCCAGCCTACAGAAGAGGCCACCCTTTTGAATTAAACTAACCTGGAAACTCCCTCAGATATTTCCAGAATTTTCTCACCTTGGTGATTGTTTGTAGAACCTGGTCAGCCACCATCTTCACATCAGCTGTGCCTGCTTGCAGAAGATCATCAGGAGCAGGCCTGTTTGTTGGTAACAGTTTCTCAGAGGAGCCTCCACCTGGGCCTCCCAGCCATTTATATACAATCTACTCTAATTGCACATTCCTCTGGGGCTGGGGAGGTGCTAGAGTACAATGATTGTAGTAGATTATAGGAGGTTAACCAAAGAAAACTGTATATATGTCTACAGGAAAGCTAGCATTCATCATAGGGTAGACTTTTTTTTTTTTTTTTTTGGTTTTTCAAAAGCCAGAGTTTCTTGTGTAGCCCTGGCTTTCCTGGAACTAATTCTGTAGACCAGGCTGGCCTCTGCTTCCCAAGTGCTAGGATTAAAGAAATGAACCATCATGGGGGGTGGGGGGCATAGGGTCGACATTTTCTAGTGCAGTTGCTTTGGAGTCACCCACATTCCTGTAAGCAACCCCAACTCATGCTTTATAAGAAAGTCCAATAAAATCATTTGTTTTACAGATTAAACATTTTGACTAACTCATCCTCAGCTCCTGCTGTGCAGTTCTATGTTACCCCATTTCCTAGGATGGGCGGGTTCTCCCCGCAAGCTCCCACTTATGGGAAACAAAACAAAACAAAACAAAACAAAACAAAACAAAACAAAACAAAACCAAACCAAAACAAAACAAAAACTTTTTTAAAGCTAAGCCTCCATGGTCTGTAAACGTCATTTTTCAAATTCGGGAAACAAGAACCCGAGGCCGGGCTCAGTGAAACTGAAGTCATTGTGGGTACCTGAGTTAAAGAGGTGAAGGACAACTGTTTCTCTCCAATTCAGATACCCCGAATTTTAGCCTATCAAGAGTTCTCCACTTGAGGAATGGGTGAAGGCTCCTTTAGTGGCCTCTGGGGACACGATGGCAATTTCTTCAGGGACCTTTGGGTGGATTCTGACGAAAAGCAATGGGACAAAGGTCCCTAGGTCTCTTCTCAGATGAGCCCCAGGCCTTTCAGGTAGACCAGAGTCCTGCTGTGCGCTTCCCGCCCCCCACCCCCCGCCCCGGCCAGCCTCACGCGAGTGGACTACACTTCCCAGCAGGCCCCGCGGTCAGCGGCGAGGGCGGGAGGGGGCGGCGGTGTGAGAGACAGAGAGGGCGGCGCGCGCCGGGTACGCGCGCCGGCGACCATGGCGTTCGCCTGGCTGGAGCGAGTACTTTAACCCCGGGAGGCGACAGCAGAGGCGGCGGCCTGGGAGCCAGCCTTAAGCGGGCGGGTCCCTGCCTGAGGAAAGGGAGGAAGGGGCGGGGAGAGCGCCAGAGGGAGGCCGGTCGGCCGCGGGCGGGCGGGCAGCGCAGTGCAGCGCCGAGCGGGGCCCGCGGGTCCATGAGGAGGCCCCGGGACCATGGGCTCCAGGATCAAGTGAGTGCGGCCGGGCGGAGCCGGGCGCGGGGGAGGCGAGGCTGGGCTAGAGCTTCAGGCCGTGGGCCGCGCTTGGGGGACTTGTTGCCCGGACTGGAGGGGCGCCCCGCGTGGAGGCGTCAAGCGGGGAGGGGGACGGTTGCCATGGCGATGTGAGAAGACTCGGGGAAGGGGTGCGCGCGGGGTGGAGGGGCGCGGATGATCAGATGTCCCCTCCTCACCTGAGGGCGGGAACTGCTGACGCGGTGGCTCCCTAGGCGGGATGTTTGGAGCCCCAGAAAACTGTCATACAGCTGCTGGGAGGGGGGAGTTCTCCGGAAGCAGGTCCTCATAAGGGTGTGCTTGGGGCGACCCCCTTGAGTTGGCAGGTCCTGAGAGGTTGCAGCCTGGCTGCTTGAGGCCTGTAACCTTTACAGAAGTGGTGTGAGGTTCTTAGAGGGAGGGGGCTTCTGGAACATTTAAGGGTTGGATGGCCTGCACAGGAAGGCCCTTTTTGTTTACTGTTTCTTCCTCTTATCTGAGTCTCCACACAAGCAAGGGCCAAAGGCTATGTATGAAGGAAGATACCTTTAGGCTGTCACTGAGTACTTGATTTTGAAAAAAAGGTTTTGTAATTCAATCTGGCAAATTCCCTCACTCCTTCATTTGCTTGGAGTTCCTGGTTGAGGCTTAGATTTCTGGTGAAAATGCTGATACTTGTAACTTCAGTACCCACTGAAACATTACAAGTTGACTTTGGAAAGTGCAACTTTTCTGTGGTCCAATTTGTTGCTTTGGTCTCTATCTTCCCTCCCAGCCAAGACTTCTGGCCACTCCCTTCCTCAGCCCTAGAACTCAGATGCTTTATCTTTCCCTTAATCATTAGCAAATGTTCACTTTTTCTCTATGACTAATAGAATTGCTTAAGGGCATTGAAAAATAAAGTTGACAGCATACGCTTTTCTGGAAAACAGCATTCACAAGATACCATAAACCCTCTTTTAGGAAGGTCTGTGGAATGTGTTTATTTCAGCATTTTGAGAATTGTACTAGGAAAGTTTGAAAGAGGAAGGGCCTCAAGGGCAAAAATCTAATAATTATTCAAACATCGAATCTCATGTCCAAGTGATGTACATGCAGTGTGACCCTTGCCCAGCTGTTCAGTCTCTTCAGCAGTTAGGGTTCTCATTTACAAAAGGTGTCTTGTATGTTTTGCAGAAATCCTGTGACACCTGCTGAATGAAATTAGAAAAGTTTGCTCATGAAAATGGATGTAGAGGCATAAGAAGACCTTTATTTTTTTTATAGAAAAGGGAGGAGGGAGTTAGAATATAACACAAACAACAGTCTGAGAATCTGGGGAGGTAAAGTGATTTAGTTTGTGACTATTGGGATTAAAAAGGCGCTCCAGGCTAAATTCCAGCCTTTAAGTAAGATTTGTAAACTTGGAATTTCAACAGTAAGTAGAAACACTTTCTGTAAGTCACCTCAGAATTGCAGAGGAAGCACGAGGATGTGTCTTACCTTTCTTGTTCCACAGAAGTTCAGAGACTTGCTGGACTGGAGGCAGCAAGTGTTCCAGAGACATTAATATAGAGCACGTTCAGATGACTAGCTATCATCTGCTCTTACTCTTGACAGTAGCGAGTTGACAAGCATGTTTTGTAAGTATGTTTAGTGGAATGCATTACTGTAATATCTGAGCACTTGGGTAAGGGAATTTACCAAAGCATGAAATTGCATTAAGTGTGACATTAGTATGAAGAATGGCCTTATTAATCTTCAAACTAGACTGCTCAGTGGTTAAAAGAAAACAGAAAAAAGCCTGGGAAATATGTTAGCCTGTGGTGAGGTTGAAAGAGAATATGAAAATAGAAGTTATGAAAATCAGTTGTGACTTATTATAGCAAGTTGTGCAGTTTCTGTCAATAGCTAGGAGTATGGATGGACAGAAGGTAAGGGAATAATCAATTTAGGTACCACCCTGTCATTGGAGAAATTGGCTCTGGTTGCTACTGGCCATTCTGTCAGGCAGAACAGGTGTTCAGGGTATTCACTTGGCTGAAGTGAAAACTAAGTGTACAAGTCCCTTTCAGTAAGTAGGTAGATGGGTGGGTGGGGGCAGGCTGAGCGTTCTCCAGGTCCCTCTTTCTTTTGCTTATCTCTGATGCCTTGTGCCATTATAAGGACAATGTAGATCAGATCTGGGTTCAAATTTCAGTTCTTTCTCATGCTCTGAAACGGTGTATCTGTGAATATGGATTTTCCTAGGATAGAAGGGGCCTGCAGGATCATTATAAGCAGTAAATGCAGGATCAATGTGATTGCCAGACACATATTAGGAACTTAGTATTTTATACCTTCTTGTCAAATGATTAAGAATATCTGATGTATTATATGCCAGAAATGTCAAAGAAAGGCACATTTCAGGTAACAGAACAAAGTTTTAATGGTCAAGGGTTAAGATTGATTTAATACTGTCATACTATTAAAAAATAAAAATTGATTAAAAACAATACTGTGTGTAATTTTGAAGCTGATGTCTGCAGTACAATGAGTGATAAAACATGTGTATTATTAGATCCAGGAGGTGATTTATTATTTGTTCAGGGTGGGAAGCTGGGGCTGCTGGAGCAGTCTCTGTGCTGGGCACCATGGTAATGTTTAATGTGAATCATTTTCTAAAACATAGCTGTCCACTGGTGCTACTTATTAATTACTGTTTTCACTTGAGGGTAGGAGTCCATAGGCTTAAGGTCAGATAGATACCAGTTCCCCACCAGCTGTCTGCACCCCTGTCCTAGGTCAGATGCCGCTCTGTGTTTTTGTAATCACATTAGGATGGCAGTGCCAAGTCTTGTTCCTCAGTTAGCTTATATTGAACGAGACACAAACTTCTCGAGAGCAGGATTTGTTTTTTAGTTCCCTATGTCAAACTTGAGCTGGCACATGATTGTCTAGGAAGAATTTAGGAACTGTGTCTAATAGATAGGATCTGAATTAAGATGCTTAGACATTAAGTTCTCAGATTGAAATGTATATAGAATTAAAAAGAGCAATTTGCTATTAGAACTCTTAAAAGTTTTTGTATTTAGTAAGAGTAAGGCAGATTATCTTGATTTGGGCAGAACATTACTTATTTTTACTAACAAGAATTTGTTTAGTCTGTTTTCATTTTAAATGACACATTGTCTTGAATCAAACCAAACATCTAAATGACAAAGGAAAGAGGTCACCAGTATTCAGGTAATTCACTGGAAATTTAAACCTTCAGCCTAAGCAGAGAGTTTCTAGAGGCATAAAAGGAGGAGTGCTAAGTGACATTCTTGGACAGGTATGTTTAAATCTTACTTAGTGTTTCAGTGATCCCTGTGGACTGGAATGTGGTTAATATGAGGCAATTTAACTGATAATGCAGATGCACAGCAGGAAACTTTGAGGCAGTTTAATATTGCTTGTGGTGACATCCTAGAAATTGCTTCCAGGCACCAAGTCCAGGAAGTGGGTTGTAAGTAATGGAAGTGTTTTAAGTGACTTTGAAGAGACCTGACATTAATGGACTCTGAGAAAAGCATACCTTAAGATTTGAAGGCATAGGAACAGGGTAGACCAATAGTTTTGGCCTTGTGGTGGTCTGCATTAGCCCATATGCTGTTCTGCTGTCCCCATCAGACCTTTAGGTTGGTATTGGAAGAATCCATTAATTCATTTACTCTGTTACTACACAACCAAGAAGTGTCAAGCACACATTAAACATTTAATAAATATTAGCCGTTATCAATTATATTAGTACTGTTCCTGACAGTGTGCCAAGTACTAGGGGTACAAAAGTGAAAAGATTTTGTTTTGCCCTAAAGTAGTAGGCACAAGTACAAAATAAAAGCACCCTGCCTCCTCTTTTCCCTTAAACCCTAGGCATAATTCAGCATAATTGCTATGGTAGCAGGGCTACCAGTAATGACTAGGTGGTGGAGTGAAGGTGGGACTGGTTGCCTTGAGGGGTGGGAAGGAATGATGAGAGAAGAAGGCTTTGGGGGAGAGAATGCTTTAATTGCAAGATGAATAAGAGCTGTAAAGGATAAGGGTGGTGATGGTGGCTGTGGTATCAACTGAGAGTGGTACATACAAGGACAGGCCTATTAGGGAAATAAAAATATTACTTAAATGTGAGGAACTGTGCTAGCCATCTGAAATTATAGTGGGGGATGACAGATGGTTTTTTTGTTGTTGTTTGTTTGTTTGTTTGTTTGAATATTCTGTATATTCCTGGCTGTCTTGTTCTATAGACCAGGCTGGCTTCGAACTCAGAGATCTGCCTACCTATGTTTCTGGAGTGCTGGGATTAAAGGCATGTGCCACCATGCCTGGCGGATAGATGGTTCTTGTTTTCGTGGTACTACAGACTGATGGGTCTGATAGGTAAATTTAGTAAATTCACATAAAGTAATGTAGTTGTGTTGAAAGCAATTGAGATGCTGAGAGAGGAGATGCCAAGTAGCTGTCCTATTTTGGATAGAGTGGTGGGGATAGCCTTACTGTAGAGATGATGTTTGAACGCAGAATTAAAGGATGGAGAGGTATTTAGTCATGTCAAGTTTGAGCAAGAATTTATTTCAAGCAGAGGATAAAGCAAGAAAACCCTGGGGAAAATTTTAGGAGCTGATGATGTAAGAAGGGGTTTAGGTGAGGTCAGAATGAAAGCATGATTAATATTGTCAAACTTACTAATTTATTTTTGAGACAGGATCTTTCTATGTACTCTTGGCTGGCCTGGAACTCTTTGTAGATGAGTCTGGTTGTGAACTAACAGAGGTCCACATGCATCTGCATCCTTAGTGCTGGGAATAAAAGTGTGCAGCACTCTAGGTCTTATAAAATCTTTTAAACTAAAAGGTTTTTTTTTAGTATGTCTATAGAGTCATGAGTGAATGCCATGATATAATTCTGGAGCGTTTTATTACCCTAGAAAGAAACTGTAACAGTCACTCCTCATTCTTTCAAACTCTTCGAACCCTAGGTAA